CGGCGGCGCGCGTAGGGGGTGACGCAGTCGAAGACGTCGGAGCCGCTGGCGACTTCGAGGATGTGCGCCCTGAGCGTGTTGGCGCTCTCTCTGGTGATTATGACCGGCGGCTTCGGCTTGTTCTTGGACCCCGGCGGCCTCCCACGTGGACGCCGCCCCACCACGTCGCCGGGTCCCCCCGAAGCTAGCTCCAGGCCTTGGCTTCGGTCATCCTCATCAAACGCCCCCGTTCCGCGGTTCGGTGGAGTGCTCTCTTGCTCCTCCGAGTCCCGGTGGTGGTGCTGCTGCAAGTGCAAGTCCGGTCTGTGAAGGTTTTGAACAAAGCTTCCTAAATCCAAACCAGCCATAGACACATCAACGAGAGAGAGAGAATGAAATATATATATATAAGATACAGCACAAGTTATAAGGTTTGGAGAAAAAAAGGTCGTATGTATTAGAAAACAGAAAACAAATGATTATACTATGGAGAAATATTATGTTAATATATATATATATATATAGTAGAGTGTTCCTTTTCTCTTTTTTTTTTGGGTTAAGAACAGTGTTGGCTTATTTTAAGGGGAGTGTGGAAATAAAAAAGGGAGAAGAAAGGAGAGGGATGATGGGTTTTGAAAAGATGGAAAGAGGGGATGGGGTGGATGGAGTGCAGAGAAAGAAAAGGGAAGAAGGAGGAGACGATGAAGAATGGGAGAGAGAATTGAAATGAGGTTGAAGGAGACAAAGGACTCACAATGCAGTCATTTGTTTGGGCAAACAAAAGTTTAAAATAATAATAATAATAGGGCATTTGTACTATAAAATATAACAATTAGTTGGGGAAAATCTTTAATATGCTTAATCGAATGTGTTCGTCACTCCTGTTTCCAGAGCGTGACCACAACGCGACTTTAAGTTGATTAGACTTCATTAATTGAACTTACCATCAATTATTGCTGAGGTTTTCAATGGGCGTTATATGAATATGGTAATATGCTAAGGTTATGTATCAAAAATAAATATAATACTCACTTGATTTTTAATTAGAATAAGATAGTAAATTATAATTAAAATTTACTTAAAATATAATTTGTTAACACATATATTCCAACGGAAAAACAAGTGTACTAACAATACTTGTGAAATTTATTAACATGGACTCACTTCTTTTAAAAAATTTGTATAAAGTGCTAATGATATTATATGTAGCTATGTATAAAGGACAAAAATTCATTGATATTAATTAACTCATACCCATTAATATCTTCATAATTAATATAAATAGTGAAAAGTTATTGTATATGGTGGTTCAATAATTGATTGTCATGTCTAATACTATTATATTGGTTTTAATAATAACTATTTTAAAAATTATATCTGAAATGATTTTATTTTGTGTGTATAGAATTGAAAATAAATTTAGAACGTAATATTTTTGTATATTTTTAAAATATTTCATTACTAGATTAATTTTAGTGATTTATTTAAAATGATTTTTAACTAGTTGATGTATAATGTAAAAATAAATAATATTATACTAGTATTTTTATAAAGCAATGTTTTTTTTCAATACAAATTAACAAATACAACTGTTAATAATTTGATAGTATTTGTTTATATTTTAATAAAATAGGATTTGTTTTTAAAAAAAATAGTTAATAATTTAAAATTGAAACTTGTTAATTAAGTGAATCCATTGAATTGTATTTTTTTTAAAAAAAGATAGACTATCAAAGTTTTAATTGATAAATGAAAAACAAAACGTTTATATTTTTTTTTATAAAAATTTTATTTTATTTTGAAATAAAATATATTTTTTAATACAATTACAATTATAGATTTTTTAAAATTATTTTTAAACTCATATTTTTATTTAAGATTTTTTAATAAATATCGAGATGAATAGAGTGAATAGTTATTAACAACTATTTTGAGGGTGGGTAATGGAGGTGTATTATGTATGGAATGAAAGTTTGCAGATAGGTATTATAAATGTATGATTAAGGTTTTTCTTAAATTAAGCAGGGACAAGGAGAAATTTTAATTATTAAAATATTGATAATAAAAATACAAATAATAAGTTATGAAAGTTTAAATACTTGTTTTAAGTAAATTTTTTGAGAAAAAACAGTCTAAGTAAGGAAGATGTACTCGTTTATAAAAAAATAGTTAAATTATTTTAAAATCAATTAAATAATTGTGAGCTAGGTAAAATGACTATTCAAATACATGTAGATTATCTATTATAATAAATTAATGTAATAAAATATAATGACTTTGATTTATTTTATGAGAAATTTTAATCTGATTGTTAACTTGATAAAATTTAGCATTTGTATAGGTAAAGAAACACACAAGCACGCACCTCTTATCATTTTTTCTCTTTTTGAAACACATGATTTCACTACTATTTAATACTCGTTATATATTTTAAATAAAAATTAATATTTTAGCCTTGCATTCTACACACTAAATATTTATTATTTGTATTAAAACTTATAATAAACTATATATACAAATAAATATTATAATTGAATATATAAATTATATTTAAAATTTGTACATATAAATTTTTTAAACATATAAATTATATTTTAAATTTATGATAAATTATTTATATTATAACATAATATTATTTTTATTTATTAATAATTTATTTTGTAATATCATCATTTCATAACTTTGTTGTTTGATTTGGCAAATGTTGCTGAGAGTTCTAAATTTGAGAGACCTTGATAGGACGTTGATCTCTAGAAGATTAGAATAAAGATAAGTAAAGTCGACTCAGGAAAGGCATTAAAAGAAATTTTTCAAAAAGGAAGCTCATAACTCAAATTTTTCAAGAACCTTAAAGAAAAGCTAGAGAGAGAATTCCCTCTTCCTTTTCCTTTCTTCATCTTTCATTTTCACTTGAACCCTTCCTTTTGTACCATTTTATCAACTGGTCAAGAATTCGAGCTTTGGGGTTGGAACTTCAAGCTAGTGGTGTGCAAAGTTGTTTCTTCTCCTTTTCCTCTTGCATATTGATTCTCTAAGAGGTAAGGGAAGTTGTGATTTCGAATTTAGGTGTGCTTTCTATGGTTGTGATGATTGGAATGATTTGGTTGAAGGTATTGAGTGATTAAACGATGAAATTGAGAGGGTTTTGTTGCTTTGAACTGAAATATGAGAACTTGAGTTGATTCTTGATTGATTTTAGTTGCATGTTGTTTTTGATGATGAAATCATGTTGTATAGGTTGTATATATGTTGTTTATATCATTCAATGTTGTTGGGGCCGCAAAATTTCTAAATTAGGCAAAATTGGGTTATGCACAAGTGCAAACCTGATACTGCATTGGGCGCACCTTCATGGTTTCAGGCCGAGTTCCAAAGAGAGGTCTTTATTTAAATCACATTAGGCATATGATCGATGGCATCAAACATGAAGAAAGAGACTCATCTTGGATTGAAATCATGTCGGGCATGGGTTGAATGGCGTCAGACATGAGAAGAGACGTTGGTCTCTGTATGGATTCATGTCGGGCGTTGGTGGAGTGACCTTGGGCATGAGCCAAACAGAGAGCTTTTTGCCTAATTAGGGTTAGGCGTGGCTGTTGCCACACCAAGCGTTAGACCATGGGACACTCTCTACCTTAATAACGTTGAATATGAATGGTGTGACATCGAGCGTGGGTGAGATAGGGAGTTCCTTACCTTAGTGGTATTGGGCGCCTAGTGAGTGGCGTTAGGCACTAGTTGTATGATGAAATGTTGTTATATAATGTTATTTTATAGTGATTGATGGTGAATGAGTTGTATTATGTAAAGTTAATTTTTCAAGTTATTTAACAGTTGATTTATGATGGCATAGTTGTATGAATAATGATGTAAGATGGTATATGTGTTGTTACGTCGTAAGTTGAACATATTAAAAAGTTGTGTGTTGTTTTAAGTTACTTAAGCTAAATCTCGAGGTTGTTCTTCCAAGTTGTAAATATTGTAAAGTTGTATGATGCTTAAGTTGTTCAAGGTAATATGTTGCAAAGTTGAAAATTAAACGTTGTATAAGTTGTATGTTGCTAAAGTTTTTAAGTTGATAAATTATAGATATGTGAGTTAAATACATGTCTTAACTATGATACATAAAAACTAGAGAGGATTAAAGTTGTTTTCAAAAGTTGAAAATCTCATTGTGTGGATATATATTGTGCTGCTCTGAGAACCCGATTAAAATCCTTCAGTAGGTAAATTGGCCTTTAATTGAATGAGTAATTTGTTTTTTCAGTTATTCCCTCTAGGGTTTATGTGGTAATCGTGTGTGGGTAAATTCGAGGCACACATGTATAAAATTGAGGGTTGTTAGTTGGCTAAATCTCATAGGTGGCTTAGTGTTGTAGACTAATATCGTGGTAGGCTCATATCCAAATAATTGTTCTACCTTGACATAGTACCACACTTCCTTATTTAATTGACAAAATTTGAGAAATCAATCTAGCTTATGATAGGTATTGTTTCTAGATTTGTGCTAGTTGTTGATTTCTACCTTAGTGTCAGTTGTTGTTTCTAGTTGTATGTCAACCATTGTGATTCAATAGGGTTTAGCCACTTAAAATTGTTCACCCTATGTTGTAGGAGATCTTTGTAGTTGATATGCATGATGATACACTAGATGTGATGTATATGTTGATATATGATGAATATGTTGTAAGATGTTGAGCTATTGTGATGATGATATTATTCTGTTGCAAGTTGAGATATTTTGCTATGATAATGTTATTTATAAGTTGTTATGTTGTATTCTTTTCACAAGCTTACCCTGTGTTTTTCTCATGGTTGAAACTGCAAAGATCATACTTGGTATGGTAACAAGATAGGATTAGTGGGATAATTTTTGCAGTTAGAGGACAATCACGCTGGAGATGGTTAGTTTTGTTGCTAACAACTCTGATGTTGTCATGTATTGTACAAATATCGACCAACAACTAGATTTATTTTACTCTTAGTACTATATGTTGTATATAATATGTATGTGTAGAATACTAGTTATTGACTGTATTATAAATTCTTATTCTGATGCATGTTTTTAGTCTTTGGTCATGAGATAGTTGTCTAATAACAAGTATAACGACCTGTTGAATCATTACATATTTTAAATATTAAAATTTAATTAATAAATAATTAGGATAAATAAACACAAAATTAGGCAAAAAATTTTAAAAATTCTTTTATCAAAGAAAAGTTTCTAAAAATATTATCACATTATATAAAAATTCATATTTAATATGTAAAGGTTGATTATTAATTTTTTAATATATTAGATTATTCACTCCTTAATTATCTTATCTTTTCCAAATAATTATTTTGATTTTTTTCATTAAATTTTCGTTTTTTTCAATCTCAGGAAACATATACTTTTAAATAAGTATATTTTTACTTTATTTTAACACTTATTCTTCTGAGTTGGTGATTTTATTTCTATTCATATTAATACATTTTTTTAATAGTTTTCAAATATTTAATTGAATGTCATCAAATTTTAATATATGCGGGGGCCACGGGGGCAATTTTCAAGTTGTTATTCTTTTAATCCAGGTAATCAATGATCAGATGACAAGGTTCGTTAATGTAGTAAAATAGTTGTGATATAATTAACTATTAAATGTTTACCAAAAATATTATACATTAAATGAGGAAAAGTAAAAAGTTTAGCTTATTTTAAAAGAACTTATCCATCCACCCAAAAAAGTATAGTAAGATCGATAAGAAAAACGTAGCCAGTGAGTTTTTATAATAA